CGCTGCGTCTCTACCACACTGAGCACAGGAAGACGTTTGTCGAACCTTTTTCTGCAGCGTGTGAAGAGAGAACAAACTCTGAGTAGGGGAAGTGTGTGAATCCAATCTGCTGACCTACTGCCTCCAGAGAAATGGACTCTGGGAAGCTGCTTTCCCTGGCTTCATCCCTGCTCCTTCTCCTTGCTCCTTGCTGTTGGTGCTGCTAGGTGAGTTGCACCCCGCGGAGGCAGACTGCCTGGCTTCCTCCCCGTCCTTCTGGGTGCTTAAGCGGGAGAGGAGAGAGAGGGCAGGAGAGCCCGGGACTGCAGGAGGTACAATCCTTTCTGCTTTGGTTGCTGTTGCTGAAAACGCTCCTCTGTCCAGGCGGGTGGCCGAGAGCCCTCTCCTCGCTGGGTTGCCTTTGTCCGCAGTCTGCTGCTTTGCTCCTGCCCCCGGGACCCGCCCTCCTACCTGGCTGCCAGGTGAACCAGCCTCTCGGGGTTGATCTGTTGTTTCTCTGCAGAGAAAGGAGAAGTTTGGTTTGCAAGCTTCAAAGTAAAAGAGAAACCCCGGCTTTAAAGATGCTCTGCTTCTCCTTGGGGAGGGAGAGGAAGAGCAGAGAAAGAGCCGTAATGCTCAGCAGCAGATGACGTCCCCATGGCACGACAGCTCGGTGAGCAGCTGTGAAAAAGCCCTACATGTGGCTCCCTTCTGCTTCTGTGTGCAGGAAACCTTACACAGAAGGGCTGGTATGCCCCTTTTTGGGGGCGCTGGCTGCTATCCTTGTCAAGGTGCTTGGCACTGTGCTCCGTAGGGAAGGACAAATACTGGCCCTATTGTAGAATTTTGGGGAAACTGAGGCCAGGCGGCAAGAAATGCCTGTCCTCATGCAGCTTTTTTGGGCCAGGCACCCCCCCACACACACCATCTGACTGTGAAAGATCTCCCCATCACAAGACGTCAGATCCCACCGGGCTGGACAGGCTGTTGCCAGCTCACTTGGGTGGGATGTATAAATGCTGCTGTTAGACCGGGATGGTTTGTCTGACTCCTTCCAAAGTTATAGAGCACCAGACCCAAACCAGTCTTCCTGCATAGCCTGCCAGATAAACTGTCCTAGAAGAGATTAGCGGTTTAAATGAAGTGTTTGGTCTTGTTGCTGGGACTGTTATTTAGAGGCAGACTGTTACCTGCAAAACTGCAGGGAACATCTCACTTTCTTTAAAAAGAAAATAACAATCCCGTGTACTAAATCTCTCTCTGCTGGCAGTTTGTGAAGTGCCAGCAGGTCAGCAGGGGAAGGTGACAAATGTCAACACCGGGACAGGGCTTTGGGCAAAGTTCAGACCTGAGTGCAGCCCCGGAGGTGCCTTCTGAGCTGGTTTGGGGCAGCAGTGGCCAAGCACTCTGCGAGCAGCGGGGTCGCAGGGCTGGTGCCTGCAGCCTGTGTTTGCTCAGCACCTTGCACGAGGGGCCCAGGCGTGATTGTGGTGCTAATAACACACCGGCGCTCCGTGTTATCAGGAGGCAGGGAGGGCCCTGAAACCAAACCCGCGTGTGTACCTGCAGCTCGGTTCCACCTCTGCTTTGCAAACTGCTTAAGTAGCTTTTCCCGAATGCTGTGTGCCTGGGCTGGGCTGGCTTTGGGGAGCGCAGCCCGGAGCCGCAGGGATCATCTGTCACTGCTCTGCCTGGAGGAGGTGAGTCCCGGCATCTGCCTTCCTTTCATCCCGGCTCCTGTGAGCCTCCTGAATCTTCCTTCTCCATCCCTCTGCCCCTGTCCTTACAGATCGGGAGTTCAGGGGATTTTTCTAGTCTGCACTGGCATTTCTTTCCAGCTAAGCCAACCCATCTCTCTGTATTATGTGAACAAAATAAAAAAAAAAAAAAAAAAAAGTTGGGTATTGGGACAAAAATACAATTTAAACAGAAAAGGGTTCATAATCTGTTGCAACTGTGTCTATGACTTGATTGCTGTTGACAACTTCTCATCGCTGGCTGTGCATGGGCATTGCCTCCGGGTACACTGGGATTTATTTTTTCGTTAAAGCCCTCTGAGAGCGTGGAAGGGGGAAGAAACAGATCTTCTCTTACCTACTGATAAGAAATTCAGCCTCTCCGCCTCAACCTGAAATTCTCAGGCAGTTGGGGAGATGTACAGATTCCTGTTTCCTCACCAGTGCTAGAGATGTCACTGCGATAAAAGGGAAGAAAACAAATTTTTTTTCTCCGTGTGTGTGAGAGACATCTTTTACTTAATGTTTGAGGTTTCCCTTGGGATAAGTCCCCCTCTGTAAGCCCTCCAGACCCTGGACTACAGCAGACAGCGGGCATTACCTCTCCCTCCCAGGTCTAGCTCAGAGTGGCGTTGGCTCAGTTAATCTTGGCTCGTGAGTCTGCTTCCTCTAGCTAACAGCACCGAGGCTTGTGCTGCTGGAGCTGTAGGGCTCCAGCTTAAATTCCTATCCCAAGGCTGTCAGCCAGCTGGGCACCCATTAAAGGAACAAGGCTGAGACATCCTGTGTCTAGCCCACATCTAAGGTGGTTGCTGCCCCCAATTGCTTCCTTGCAGATAGAGTGCATCTGAAGTAACGCTGAGCTTATCTGGGGCCTCGGAGTATTCCTTTGAAGCCACGTCTAGTGATTAAAGGAAAACTGTTGCTGTTCCCCCTCTGCTGTTGGCTTGCTATTTGACCTTGGGCAAGTCATTTAAATGTTCATAGTTGTTAAAAGGAGATATCTTTCGTGACAGTCAAGGTCTAAGTGAGCTTGGAGGGGGAAGGTGAGGGATCCTGGAAGGAAAATCATCGGTACTTATTGTGTTTAATTGGCAGCCTGGCAACTCCTCAGCTCAGGAGTGGTGCCTCTCCTCTGCAGCCGCGAGAGGCAGGGAGAAATGCCTGTATCTTTGTAAAAACCTCATCGCCGCACATCCAGCTTCACCCAGTCATCCCTGTGCGGGTTATTTGGGGGAAGAAAGAGAAAAGGGAGAAGGCAGGAACTGTCCCAACTGTACCCGTCTGCTAACTCTACTGCAGTGATGGAGGTCAAACACGTGTGCTCTGCGAAGTCAGGGATCACTCACTCGCACCGTGTTTGGTGATAACATGAAGCTTGCTTTCTGCCCAGTGTAGCTGTGGCAAGGCTATGGTCCCGCAGACCGCCGGTTCAGCGGCTCCTCCTGCGTACACACTCTGCATCCCGCTCGGACCGCTGACCGGCTGCCGTTCCAGCTCTGCGAGGTCCGAGCCGCTCTGCCCGGTACGGCCCCAGCACCGGTTCCCTCGGCTGCTGGGGAGGAAGGCGAGTGTTGGCCTGGAGATGTTCCTTGTTGGAGTCTTTTCCTCTCCCCTGTAACCGAGGCAAAGAATTTAGAGGGGGACCGGGCTGCAAAACTGGGTTTTCACCTTGTTTCTTCTGACGGGTTCGCTCTCTGCAGCTACGGGAAGCTCTGTGCAGCTTGCTGCTCTGGCAGGAAGGAGGTGTGCAGGCAGGTACGCAGTTCGGCTTCCCCGCAGTCAGGGAGGGAGCAGTTGGAGATAAACTCCTCCGCCTGCGTGTCTCACATTCTGTTCAGCCTCCTTCATCCAAAGGACCCAAAGCACTTGGGGGCTGCGCTGCGGTGGAACAGGAGGCAGAAGCTTCTGTGCAAATTGGGAGTGCAGTGCGCAGTCCAGAAATGGGTCATTCTGAAGCACATTCAGGCCAGCGGGACCTTTTCTGCCTTGTCCCCACAGAGAAACTCCACGGTGGCTCATTTAGGGGGAGAAGTCGGAGCACGTGAATCCTGAGAATTAGGCAGCAATTAGTTTTACTCCTAAATCAATGTCTGTGCAGCAGCGTAATGTCCTGCTAACACATTCTACCTTTCCCAGCATAACTGGGACCATCTTCCCGAGATGCTTTCAGCAAAACTGCAGTTTGGTGGACTAGTTGCTGGTAACCGTGCAGGATTTGTTGCGTTTGTGGACTGACATAGTGGCAGGCTCATAACAGGTTACTAAGAGGCATCTGCTTACGCTTGCCTTAGCTGCTTAGCCCCTGTCCTGATGTGGTGGCCTCTCCCCTCTGAAGAAGGCTGGAGAGAAGGAGCATGTTACAGGGCAAATAAATGACTCAGACTAATGAGTAAGGTAATTGCCGTTCACTGTTAGATGAGGCTAAAGTGGGTCAGGTTTGTTTGTGAAACTCCACGGAGGCACCATCTGTTCTCTGCGCCCCGTCTCAGGGGCTGGAGACAGGATTTGGGTGAAACTGCTTCCCTGGGAGCCTGCGGGGCAGCGCGGGGGATGCCCCGGTCATTAGGCAGTGCCGTGGGTCCCTAGAGATGACCCCGTGTGACTGCAGGCGAGTGCCTGCAGCCCGCATCCTCAAAGGGGCCTCTTAATTGATTTCACTGGGAGAGGGGACCCTGAATCCTTTGTCTCTCTGCTACAACTGCCCATCTATAAGATGAGGCTGGACAGGACACTGAGAGGTCATTAGACCTCCCTTAGCCCGGAGGCGGGATTGGATTTTCCCAAACCACGTCTGACAGGTGCCTGTCTCACCTGTCACGAGCCCTTGGAGAGAAACCTGGCACCAACGTCGTTCATTCTTTGAACTCTGCCGCTCTCCCAGATGTCCCCTCTTCATCCTCCCGTGCCTGCAAGCCTCTTGGGATGGGGACTGTCTCTTTCAGCCATGACGTGTCTGTGTGGTACCTGGTTTTAGCCCTTTCCCCTGCCCTGGACCCCGCAGTGTCTAACAAGCTCTCTCTTCTCAGACCACAGCATGTGAGCAGAAGGGGAAGCCTGGCGTGGGATCCCTGCCTGCCCATGTCTGGACCCATCTTTGCCGGGGCCACGTCTTGCGATAAGAGGAAGAGGAAAAGACGGTTCGTTCACCGTTGCTAAAAATGGGAGGCGGCATCTGCCCAGCAGACCAGGAAGGGACGCTCCAGACCTTGTCTGTGGGGCATCCCTGGGAGTGCCGCAGCCGGAGCGACGCAGCCGTCTGTCAGTAAGGGGTGTCGGGGCAGCATGGCTCAGGGCGCCTGGGCCAGCATGCTCTTCCACAACCGCAAGACCCAGCTCCTGCTGGTCAACTCCCTGACGTTCGGCCTGGAGGTCTGCCTGGCTGCAGGGATAACCTACGTGCCCCCGCTGCTGCTGGAAGTGGGCGTGGAGGAGAAGTTCATGACCATGGTTTTGGGTAGGTGGTTTTTCTCTCATCTTCAAGGTGCTTGTTTCCCCTTTGAGTCTGGGGGGCAGGGGCAGATAAGGGCATGGAGGCTTATCTCTGTGGGGTGGCTGCAGGGCTACTGTTGTATCAAGGGCAGCCTTGTGTTTGGAGGAGGGGGCTGTGACCCAGAGAAGCTTACTGAGTTCCTGAAGCATCCCAGGCTTTTTTTACTGTGCATACAGACCAGTCTCCTTCAGATCCATCCCCCAACACCTCTTCTTTCTCTTTTCCAGGGATAGGACCTGTCCTTGGCTTGGTTTTTGTCCCGCTGATTGGATCCGCCAGTGACCACTGGCACAGCAGCTACGGCCGAAGGCGGCCTTTCATCTGGATGCTTTGCCTGGGAGTCCTGCTGAGCCTCTTCGTTATCCCGCACGCCAGCAGCCTGGCCAGCCTATTTGCCCTCAACACTCGCCCGCTGGAGATCGCCTTCCTCATCCTGGGCATCGGGTTGCTGGATTTCTGCGGCCAGGTCTGCTTCACCCCGCTGGAGGCTCTGCTCTCAGACCTCTTCCAGGAGCCAGACAACTGCCGCCAGGCCTTCTCTTTGTATGCCTTTATGATCAGCCTGGGGGGCTGCATTGGCTACCTGCTTCCAGCCATTGACTGGGGCGGCAGCTTTCTGGCCCCGTACTTGGGAGGGCAGGAGACGTGCCTCTTCAGCCTCCTCGCCATCATCTTCCTCGGCTGTGTGCTGGCCACGCTCTTTGTGACAGAGGAGGCAGCCGCCCAGGGAGATGTCCTGGATGGCCCAGCGCTGAAGGATGCTCCCCCCAAGCCCTCAGCTCCTGCCTGCTGCTCTTGCCAGCTCTCCAGGAGCTCATGTCTCCTGCAGGCCAGGCACATGGTGCAGGCCCTCAGAAACCTCTGCACGCTGGTGCCACGGCTTCACAGCCTCTACTGCCGCATCCCCAAGGTCATCCGGCGCCTGTTCGTGGCCGAGCTCTGCAGCTGGATGGCACTCATGACTTTCATGCTGTTCTACACAGACTTTGTTGGGGAAGGGCTGTACCACGGCGTCCCCAGAGCCAAGCCAGGCACGGATGCCAGACGCCACTACGATGAAGGTGAGAAGTGAACCAGCTGCTCTGAGCCCGCAGCACCTCCTCCCGAGGACAGGAGTGTTTGGTGGGAGCTAGGAATGGGGTCAGCTCTGCTAGTACTACAAAAAACCCACCATCACAGGAAACTAGACTTTCTGCAGATGGGTCAGGAAAAAGCATTCCCCCATGGCCCCAGAGCATTGCACAGTGGTCCAAATAGGAAAACATCTCTTTCTCCTCCAGGCTACCAAGCATGGAACTGGATCTGGCAGCACAGACCCGGCCTGGGGGGGAATTGTTAAGTGGCAGAACGGTCTGGCAGGTTGCACGCTGAACAGGATGTATCTGGCTCTGTCTACGAGCTGTGGTTGCTGCTGCCAGGTCCTTTCACTCCTCTTCCCTCCTTTTTAAACGAGGGGTGGTGGTGCTCCCCTCTCTTGGAGAGCAGGGGTTGGAAAGCCAGGACGTGCTCAGCAGCAGCGAGGGGGGCTTTGCTGCGTCCCCCTTTCATGCTGCGCTGAGACTCCCATCTCCCACCTGTGTCTGGGGAGCCTTTGAGCAGCCTCCCCAGTTCTCACCCCTCTCCAGGGCTTTCTGGTAGAGCTCACCACTGCACTCTGTAGCTGCCACGTCCACCTCGTGGGATACTGCTCACTGCAGCACGTTACCTGCTCACTGTTGTTGCCTGCTGTCCTGTTTTACCTGCTGTGTTGTGCCAGAATCTCGACTCCCTGCCCAGCCCTTCTTTTCCTCTCCCTGATCTAACTCTTTTATTCTTGGAGGCACCTCCCTGGCCCTCCTCTTCCAGCTGTATATCTTTCCCTCTAAGTTTTCCATTCACTGCCTCCGTGAGCTCTGCAGTACACTGCCTCTTTGTGCTGAGTGTCTGTTTAACTTAGAGGGAGCTTAATTATTATTTAACACTTGCACTGTATAGCTTCCAGCAGTTCAGGACTCCATTGTGCTAGCTGTCATAGAAACATGTGTTGAGTAATGATCCTTGCTTCAAAGAGTTAATGGTTTTAATTCCCTGAAATCTGATAGATCTTTGCAAAGGGTAAGGTCCAGATTGCTACCGGATACTGCAGTCGTTTAGTCGTTTAGTCGTTTAGTGGATGTTGTGTACTTTACTTTGGCTTAAGCACAATTCCTTATTCCTTTTGTTCTGTTACTGGTTTTGGCATCAGATAACAACGGATCCTGGTTCATGAGCAGGTGACAGATCCTGGGTCAAGAGTAAGACGGTGCAAACAACGGCTTCCCAAGACAAGAATGGCATTTGGAGTCCTATCTCCCTTTAGTTAGACTGGGGTGCCCAGGAGCACATAGAGGAAACACACGCTGCTGGTGGAGGGTGGGTGCTGCAGCCCGGCTGGTGCAACCCTGGGATGCGTTAGGTGATGCTGCTCTGCTTCCTGACCCAGCCCTGAGGTTGTCGGGGCTGTTTGCGGCTGTGAGTTGGGCACCGAAGGAGAGGGAAGGAGGGCCAAAGGTGTTTGGCTGCGTGAAGCTTGGGTGCAGTCAGGGCAGCGTCTGTCATCACCTCTGCTTACCTGCAGGTGTCCGGATGGGTAGTTTGGGCCTCTTCCTCCAATGCGTCACATCCATCTTCTTTTCGACAATCATGGACCGGATGGTGAAGCAGTTTGGGACGCGGGCGGTCTATCTGGCCAGCGTGGTGTTCTTCCCCGTGGCTGCCTTCGTCATGTGCCTTTCCCACAGTGTCATCGTTGTTACCATCTCGGCTGCTCTGACGGGCTTCACCTTCTCTGCACTCCAGATCCTGCCATACACGCTGGCATCACTGTATCATCACGAAAAACAGGTAGGGATCTGCTCCAGAGGGCGATGTGCCAGGGAGCGGTGAGGACAGCTTGGCCAGCCTCTTTTGCCACTTGTATCTGGTAGAGTCAGTTCAGCCCACGGAGGAGAAACACATGCCTGTGTGCAAAGGTTTTCCACATGTGCCTCTCGTCTCCAGGCTGGGTCTTCTCTGAAGATTCATCTGAAATGGAAGAGATAAGAGAGTTTAGCATCTCCTTCCTTATGCATCCCCTGCTCACAACAAGCGTTACGCAATTTTAAAAAGTGGGGAGTGGGTAAGATGGGAGAAATCGGCTAGGATCGGTGTATCAAAAGATTCTGACGTTCCTCTGCACGTTTTTAGGGAAACTGGCGCAGGTTAGTTATACCTCTGTGCATTCTGCAACCAGGTCACATCTGCAGCACTGCCAACCTGAGGTGCTAAAAAACTCAAGAATTTTCAGCCCTTAGAAGTCCTGCTTTCCAGTTTTTGTCCATAGCATGAAGATCAGTACAATGAAAAGCAAAGTTCTTCCTATTCTCCTAGCTGCAAGAAAAATAAACGTTGTGAAACTTTTGACACCAACACAAATGCTAGTAATCCTGTCCCACAGATGTTATCCTTGCGGAGAAGTCCTAGGATGTTCCTGAGTTGCACACTGGATTAATAGGAGTTTCTCTTGTGCTGCAAATGCAAAATTAATTTGTGGTTTGAGAGCAGCTCTTTCATCCCAATGGCAGGTGGTTCACTGGCTGGGAACGTGAGGGCCACACGCCCAACTGTTTGCCAAAGGCTTGACAAGGACACTCTTAGTACGGTGAGGTGTGGGGTTTAGTTGGGTTTGGTCTCTCTGTTGCCTTGACTTGAAAGTTCCTCCTTCCTTTACCAGCTACTTTGCAGCAGGCTGCAGGGAGCCCCCACAAGAAGGAGTCCCTAAAACGCCTTTTGCAGACAAGTCTCCATCTTCCCCGTTTCTGTTCTTTTTT